CAGGAGGAACTGAACCGAGTCCTTGAACACTCCTGGCTTGTACATTTTTAAAGTATTATATAATGGGTATATATACTCTAACATGTACGTAACACTTCCAGGAATAATGAGCGGAGTTCAGTTGATACACTCGATCGATAACACGTCGGGCCAACTCGAAGTCGCACTCTGCGATATCACCTACCTACCGCGATGGACTAACATCAACGTCAACAACAACAAGCTGTTCGTCAGTGGCGCCTGCAACCAGATAACTCACGGCTACTACAGCGTGTGCTCGCTAAGCGACGAGGTCTTCAAACCCTTGGGAGCCGATTTCAAGATAAACGACTCAAACGGCACAGTGGTGTTAATCAACAATGGAATAAACCCCTTGAGGCTCGGTCGACCATTGGCGGGGACACTCGGGATGTCGCCGGACGAGATAAAACCCACAACTACCGTCACAGGCACGAAGTTACCCGACCTAGTACCGTACCGAGAGCTGTGCATTCATCTCGGCCAGTTGAGCACAACGGACAACATTCAAGGTGGCCACCCTTCAACAATACTGAGAGCCGTACCGGTGAAAACGGAGAAATACAATGACGGTAGAACCGAGTCGTTTTCGCCGCGCCAGTATAAGAGGTTAATTCGGGGCAACATCCCTGAGTTGATAATATCGGTGTTAGATATAAAGCATAATCCTGTGAACATAGGATACCTCAGCATAACGCTGCACATAAAATGACTAGCGCACAAGGTCCCGGAATGAGGTTGATAAAATGCATCAATGCGGGGATCTCCGACCTCGGGGACACACGCGGATTCGACAACCCCGGAGTAGATGGTAAACTGTACGCCTTGCAACTGAAAAACAACATTTACAAACGCGTTGAAGTCCCCTCCATCGGTAGAACCCTAGGTGACATAGTAGATGTCTCAGGAGTGGCCCTCAACACTCGGTTCGACCTAGTCCCCATCGGTGATGATAGATGGGCGGTATCCCAATCGTTCGGGGGCAAACTGTTCGACTTAGAAGACCGTCGCCCGAAACAAGCAGTATACCCTTGTCTTCACCGAAGACGACAAGTGGGTGTTGTTGCCCGCTAAAGTCGACTGGTTTCTCAACATTAGGCCCGGCTCCCCCTACGTGTTCATGGAGAACAAAGACATCTCGTGGCCTACGTCCCGGCCCAGAGACGTAGCGTAATCATCAGCCCAGTCGCCAGTATGGCAGCCCACATGCTATCGAGTAAACCGGGAGTGCAAGACGGGGCATTGCAGTTGGTGTCTGAATTCGCTGGCGTGGTCAACATCCTGGCAAGCCTACCGGCTAACTCCACGCTGGTCATCAAAGTCTACCTAGGGGAACCATCGCCGGATGAAGTCGAAATCGTGAAGGGGATCAAACTCCGGTGGGTGAAACGGCCACCATGTATCAAGTTTGCACTGTTTACGTGCGGGTGGGTGTCGACTCCCACACCAGTCTGCAGGGGGTCACCGTGACCGTGGAAGACACGATATCACTCGCCAAGATCTTCCTACTGGACAACATACACTTCATGGGGGTGAAGTGCACCCCTGAGAAATTATTAGAAAAACAGTTGGAAACTATCTTATGATAGTAATATAACAATGACTAGTCATCGACCCAACGCCACACTTAACGATCTAGGAGACACGGAGGGATTCGATCTGCCCGGTGAGGAAGACACCTCGTACGTCCTGCACTTAAGAAACGGCGTGTACGTGCGTCTGCGTCTGCCAGTCCACTTTATAGAACCCAAATGGTTGCTCAACATGACCCTCACCGAACTTTATATCTCGTTTGACAAAGATAGGCATATCTCCGAAATTAGGAACAATGGTATCTTGTTCGGGGCTTTCGTTCCGAAGTATGGTATAAGTACTCAACTAATGGGGGAATACACGGGTAACATGTTAGTTACTTCAGGCTTGGAGGACGAGTTAAAGTTTGACGTCCCCAATTCCCAATTGGACCTTATGAAGGTGAAACCAGGCTCCAGACTCGCCATAGAAGTCTTCTTCATGGGGGGTGATCCTGTAGAACAGCAACTTTTACCCGGGGTGACAATACGCTATGACGCCCTAAGCCTGGGCGAACATTGACGTATCGTCATACAACCGGACCCCTCAACGGGTTCTATGGTCCCCTCAATACACTCCTTAGGAGGCTCCCTCCATGATGTTCATGTGGGCGCACAGTTACCTATTTACCTCTCCCGTATTTCCCTGTACAAGGGTCTAAGACTTGTAAGCTTCAAATACACTGAGCAAAAAGTAAATTACGCACATTTTAAAGATATTTTTTAGAATATATTATATGTACACAGGATGGGTCTGTACCCAGTCACAGAGGAAGTCCCGAAGCCACTGAAAACCGTAGACGGGTTCCCCTTGAGACAGTTATGTGACATAAAACGCCAACTAGAACAAGACCGCGACACACGGGCAGCATTGTATAAGAAGTACCATAGAGCTTTCAATGTCGTGGATGGGGTTGATACCGCCCTTATGGCTACCAGTATGGGGTTAGGGGCAGTAGGTGTGGGGTTGTTTGCCACCATCATAGCCGCACCCGCAGTGCTAGGCATCGAAATAACAGCTGGGGTGTCAGGGTTGGCTGGATTGGTGTTTAAGTTTGTGTCACGCAGACTGCATCGGAAGGCATTGAAACACGACGAGATCAGGATTCTGGCCCGAAGCAAAGCTGAACACAGTAAGTGAGCGTATTTCCACAGCACTCACTGACAGTAAGATCTCAGAGGAGGAATCTCGTTCAATCCTCTCTGAACTCGACAAGTACCGTAAGATGAAACAAGAAATCCGGCTAAAGTCTCGTAAGTCTGCTATCAGCGAAGACGAGAAAAAAAAGTACATAGAACAAGGGGTACGAAACATTAAACTGCTTTACAGAGGCTTTTGTTGGACTTGGTCCCGGACAATCTTTGTATATACTACTAATCATAAAGTAATCCTTCTTAATATTAACCTGATGTCTATTATGTGTATATTATGTGAATAAACTATCCAAGTAAACCTATATTTGGATATTGCAGTCTCAACTCGCCTGACCTACATTTATTTACTCGAGCTCTTCGTTGTTACAGCTAGAAAACGTGTCTGTTGGACTTTTTTTCTAATGGTCAATAAGTTGCTATGTAGAAAGTATTGGAATAATGGATGAGGGAATTAGTCTTAGGTGGTATAAATATGTATTAATTAAGTATTGACAGTTCAAGCAGCTACTCCCAAGCTTAACCATGTAAACAGTGTTAACAGGGAAACCCGCTCGCGGAATTCCCCTGCCACGTCAGTGAGGTGAATTCATGAGGCTAATCAGAAAATGTATGGGATAACACTGGTCTAAAGTAGCCCAGAACGGTGGCTATACTCTGATTTGATATTAGCGGTTAACCTCAGGTCATTGCATTCGATATTCGCTATTCGTTGATTGGTTCAATTGGTATCGTATGATTTTAATTTGATGACGTCACGCAGAAATCAATCGCGTCATGTGTTCTATCGGATGACTCGATTTAAAACGTACCTAGCTATACGCCGATAGGTCCAAATCGGTCGCGTGGCTGAGGGGGCGTCGTAGCGATTGGGTTTCGATTATAATTTCAACCAATCAGAGGCATTTGACCACGTGACGTCATGATAGACGCGATGCCGTCATGCCGGAAGTGTCATCCCTTCTCTACATCGGGGATGACAAAACTCCCATAGACTTAACATAGACCGGAAGTTGGCCAAAAGCCTTAGTTTGACCAGTACTGTAAGGAATAAAGGAGATACTTTACAGTCAGACAGATCATTTAGTTTGACGTACATGCATATGAACACATTTGAAAACATTCTGATTTGATGGAGAAATCTGAATTGTCATGTATAATGAGATTATGCCTATTTTATTATGATATCTATTCTTTAAACCAGTAAACATAGCATCTCTCTGTGTACTGTAATATGGACATTCTAATAAATAGTGTACAGTATTCGCAAGGTTATACCCTAAGTTTTATGAAAATAAACACCATAATCTAACAACCAAGTTGTATTTGTTTATCACGCACTTTGAGACTAAATACCACAGCTTCCATTTTAGGACTATATTTAATCAACCATCGCTTGGCCCAGCTGCTTAATAATGTCAAGTTTTCAATTTTCCAACTAGTTATTTCCCTTGACACAAGGCACCGAATGAGGTGTCGTCAGCAAGAAAGGTCCCGCTATACAAAGCAATCTATCCGCTATTTCAATAATAGAAACAGTGAATAGGAAGGTCAAAGTGCCGATCCCTGTAGGACGCCTGCCTTTAACGATTTTGTCTTGGATAGGGTTCCATTTGACTGGTTACTTGTAAACCAATCAAGCATTACACCCTGTATACCATGCATTTCCAATGTAAACATAAGCCATCTGTGCTACTCCATAAAAGCTTTCTAAACACTGCCTAATTCCACATATTTGTTTTGAAAAAATATTCAAGAGATGTAGCTTTGATTGTAAATTTTAGTAAGTTGATGGGCAGTGGAATGACCTATGTGAACACCAGACATTAAATGTATCTAAGGTATTTGCATGTGACGTTATTCACTGATTGGCTTTGCTAATCACTGATTAGGCCATTCAAAGATAGATCTTGGCGGACAGCAACACACACACACACACACACACACACACACACACACACACACACACACACACACACACACACACACACACACACACACACAAAATCACGTAAAATCACGTAAAATGGCCTCTATGTATGCATGGGGTCCCACTGGAAAGGGTTAATCTGCTATACTAGTACCGAATATATCATACCTGTTTATTTGGTATCTGTGTCTGTTCATTATTCATGTAAACATACTTATCCCTGTATCTTGATTGGTTGAGTTTCTGTTTTACTGTACTCGGGTACAAGTAATGAATCAAACATGCTCAAAATCTATTTGTTTTTTTTATCTGAGTTACTCACATTTCAGATTCTCTGTGAGTGGGGAATGAGATAATAGTCATACCTTCAACAGTTGTATTAAGATGGATACCAGCCCCTTCGCTACAGGTGATGTTTCTTCGGAGTCAGACAGAGGACACGACACATGTGAAGATATCGATGGAACATTGAACTGTGAGCCCTTGTCGTGGACAACACTTATTGTCCATTGTCCATAGTCTTTTACCGAGCGTATGTTAGCATTCACTGACTTTTCTGAAGAGTAAACAGAAGACTTACCATAATTCCTCTCAAACAGCACCCAAAAGGTTAACTCTTTAACTTTTCCTTAAAACCTACAGTATCATAAGGCTATGAATGAAGTAGTATAAATGCATGTTCCATAATTCAGAGAACATTTGACCTCCAGTAGAGATTTTAGTCTGTGATTTGCATTGTTTTCCATATTGTGTAGAAGCTCTGTTTGTTCCAACCGTAACCAGATGCTCAGTTACCATCACATTTTAAATAAATGAAAAGGATTGAGCTGTATTCTTTTTACCTCTGACTTGTGTTCTTTTCGTCTGCTTGACCCCGCCAGAGCACCTGGGGCACCTTCAGGTTGAATTAATGTCTTTCCTGATGCTGCTGTACACACATTGAGGATCCCATTATAAGATGGTAATGCAACCCTGCAGCCATTAGTCTCAGGAACATGTTATTGCTGTGTTCTGTGATTTTATTTGGGATGTCCTTAAGTGACATCGATGAACTTGCAGGAGTAACCATCGAGCTAATCATTATGTTCTCTCTTAAGGTTGCGAGTGCCGTAATGTGGAGAATGTCTCACTGACTGTCTACCTTTTATTTGGTGTCTCCCTGTGGAGGTTCTGTTACTAGTTAAACGTCCCTGGCACCAGTGTAGGAGTGCACTCACTGTGAGTGCGAGGACTGGTGACATCGATACAAGTCTCTGGCTTAGTGTGGTGCATCCTCTTAGCCCGGAGACCAGAATAGCCTGATTCACGGGCGGAACCGGGGTTCAAAGATGTGTGAGCAAGTTACTGAGGTTTCTCCTTGTTGTGATGATCAGGTCAAGCTGGTTCTAGTACTGGAAGGTCCTCAGGGCATCTTGTGCTGATGTCTTGTCTGGTGGTGTGTGAACGGCTCACAAGCAGCCCATCTTCATCCATGTTGCCAACTCTGTATTGTTATTGATATCAGATCTTGGATTCTTGATCAACATCCCCTATTGCCGTGAAAGTGCCAAATAGTAGCCCTCCGATGACTGTCTGGAACTGGTCTTAGAAGTAGAGCTTCGTTTCCTGTGTGGAGCAGATAGAAAGACAGTACACACTGTTGAGGGTGACGGACTCGTCATTTCATTGTCAGCAGTGCCTGACATTCTGAGAAGTGAGTTCTTGACAGACAGCAAAGCCAATTTGCACTTTCTGGTTTTATCAGCTCCCTTTCCCCGACTACTAGTCTCAAGCTCTCTATTAGAGTGCAAGATACTGTCAGGCTCCTTTCTTGTATAGGTAACGACCAGTCATTGAAGTTCATTGTCGATGCAGCTGCTTTCATTCCATTTTGGTACCTACGTTTCAGCATCTAAACCTCAGAGCTGGTCTTATGTTTTTTTCTCTGTTCGCCATACAGTCCTTGTTGGCCAGGCACGGCCTTGTGGGCCTGTGTTAGGGCTGTATAGCTTGAGGTGGACGGCAGCTGTCCAAAGAGATACAGTAATCCATCCCACCGCAGGCCATCGCCGTCAATGTGAGGTGATGTTAGAGCTGCCATTTCGGGACACAGCCCTTGGCAGCTCGATGTGGTCAGTCAGCTGTTGTCCATGCAACAGTTGTAGAGGCTCTGTGTTGTGTGTGTGTGTGTATTGGGATCTTAATTTCCACCTTTGACCTTTAGAAGCTGTAGCTGCCTCTGATACCAGGATATTCCCAATAATGATATGATGTTGTCACTCTACATAGCCTGTTACGCATGAACCAATGTGTCATTGACCTATGTTTTCTTCTTCTATACGTCACAGTTATGAAGTTTAGTTGCTTGAAATGTATATCTAACATATAATACTTTTACAATTATTCCACTTCATGTATGAAAAAAGATATGAAGTGTATATGCTGGCATGTTTATTCATATAAGGTTTGTTCGTGTTGACACGTCAAGCGCCTACTTCCGTGAGTCGATTTGATTGTATTATATAGTAAGAGGTGATGAAAATGGGTAGAAGAAAAATCGATTTACACAAATACTAATGAGGTGGTGATTAAATCGCCTAATGTTTCTACGTTTATTCTAGGTAAGGACCCTCAGAGTTTAAGTACTGCTCCACAGGAAGGAGCACCATCCTCTGACAAAGCGACAAACAGTGGCAGTGACCGACGTATACAAGAAATAACCATGGCCTTGTCCCCAGATATATCTGAAACATCCGATCAAGGTATTGCATCCATATTGGTAACAGTTAATGCCTTAACAGAGATAAAGTCAAACGTCTGTAATAGATATACCACATGCATATTCATTTATTTAACAGAAGTATGAATATGAGTGAAGTATGAGTGTCACTGATGAGGGCGTCTGCAAACAGCACTCCCTGTTTCATGGTAATGTTTATGTTTCAGAGATGGTGGCACGCCGACCAATCAACATCACAAACTGCCCAGGAGCATTAGTTGGGAGGAACGTTCAGAAAAATATCCACTACCATGCTCCATTGCCTTCACCAATAGAAGCAATGATAGGTAAGGCTGACACATACAAGGATTCAATAAGAAATGTGAAAAACAATTATATGCTCTTGTACAGGACTCTTTAGTCAATCTGCGCAACTGACGAATAAGTCTTCAGATGGAATATAACCGCTAAATAGATTAAATAATGCTACAATCGGTGACGAGACAAACAAAATATTTTTTCTCAATGGACTTGTATACATCTTCCAGAGAACAAGAAAAAAAGTAGTAAACCTTAATACCTGATGTTTTACGTTTTCAGAGAGAACTAAACAAAGCATCCAGAACTTCGATGAGCGGACACATTTTGTAACAAGACCTTCAAAGAGAGCACTGGATATAGTCAAGAAGAAAGGAAAGGTTGTTGTGACGGCTAAGCCCAAACAGGGAAAAACAGCTATGGCCAGGTATATTTCAAAGATACTTACAGCTGACAAGAAGTTTACACCAGTGGAGATGATCAGCCCAGATCAGTGGACGGAACTTGTCCCAGACAAATACTACCTTGTCATAGTTGATGTATTTGGTAGAAACACAGACAACTTTCAATCACAGTGGAGTCAGGTGCTAAGGCAGATCAACGATCAAGTGGAATGTGGTAAGATCATTCTTGTGATGACATGTGACAATGTTATTGCAAAGAATCTTGGAAGACTATTTGACAAATCATGCATCATTGACCTACAAACAGATGAACATAAACTGAGAAGGTTCGAAAAGGTAGAGATTCTGGACAGACTTCTAAGAAAACATGGAATGATTCTGCCGAAAATGGCAGTGTTCGATGCATGTTCTGAAGGCCCCGCTGATGATTTCCTTGAATGTTGTGATTTCTTCAATAGAAATCTTGGTTTGGATTTTTTCCGGGATCCACATGAAATGGTCTCACTAAAAATGAGTGAACTGTTTGAATCACATAAAACCAAATACTGTGCAATGGTTACAGATGCTTTACGCTTGTGTTGTGGAATGAAAGATTACCAGAATCTCAAAAGCGAGATAGAAAATTTGTGCTGCATTGAAAAAGCCTCCCTTGGTGAAAGTCCATTTGAAACCGGTGATTTTTCTAAGCACAAGACCTATTACAAATGTGCTTTTCTGTCGATGAAAAATCTGGATCTCTCCTGTATGGTGAGAATTTGCCCTTTTGATATTCTCGCTGAGCACACTACAACAAAATCAGCGCAACAAAATAACAAACTTCATCTGCCAGTCGGAGTGCACGAAATATTGGCTTCTAGAATTAAGGAGAACTTTGGAATAAATGTTACACAGACACTACGTCATGACTGTTTCTCAGATAGAAGGTTCCTGAATGCTGTCGATCCTGAATTATTTGTCATGATGTCAGAAAATGCCACTGAGGTGATGAATTTGGCTATAGAGTACCAGCATACTGAACTGGTTGAGACGCTTCATGGCCTGACACTTATTAAACTCTCTGAAGATTCGAAACATGAGCTTTTACACAAGGCGTTTGACACAATGAACACAGACGTTATTGCTCTCCTGATGGATGATTCAAGTGAACAGATATGTCAGATTTGTGTTCACAATATTTGCAGTTCACTGGGCAAGGTGGCCCCTGGTTCATTACCCAGGTCATATTTCAGGTTGTTATCAAGCTTCTCCTTTGGTGACCTGAAGCCGTACATCAAGAACTTGATAAAAAGTGAGCACACAGACATTATTACAAATTTGCTTCTTCAGCAAACTGCTGATTACCATGCCATAAGAAACTATGTATTATTTTGCTGTTGCAAGTATGGCAGGAGAGACATTTACCTCTCAACCAAGGAGATGGACTTTGCACTTCCTGACCCGGATGATCTTTTGTCACATGCAGTAGAAGGAGGCAATATTGACATTGTGAAAGATATTTTATCTATGGGAGCGAACCCCAACATCAACAGCCATGGGACATACAAACCTATTCATCTGGCATGCAGATTCAACCATATACCAGTAATGGAAGAACTTCTACGAAATGGAGCGGATATTATGGCATTATCCACATCGAAAGAGACAGTTCTGCATGTAGCCAGCAATGTCACATCAGGAACCCAACCAGAAACTCTCCGGTGGCTATTAAGAGAACATTTGGGAATGCTTAATCTTGAAGCTGCAACTGATGATGGATGGACTGCTTTACATTATGCTTCGTCAGCTGGGAACATAGGCACCGCCAGGCTCTTGTTGAGCTATCGTCCTAATGTATTGTGCTGTGACAATGACGGAAACACTCCGCTCCACTGTCAGGTCAGCGGTGAAAATCCAAGTACAGAAGTCATTGAACTGCTGATCAGTGCTGGCTCTGCTCCGGATTGTAAGAACACAAGAGGGGAAACTCCACTACAGTTGATTGCCAAACGACTGGTTCCACAGAGATGTATTGTGTTGCAATATCTCGCAGCAAAAGAACCAAAGCAAGTGAATGTCAAAGATGAGGAAGGCAATTCTATATTCCACTCCCTTCTCGGCACGGACTGTTGCGTTGAAGAAGCTGAAGTACTGCTCGAAGCAGGTGCTGATATCAACCTTCCTGACATGAATGGGGACACTCCATTCCATTTGCTTGCTATGAAGAAATTTCCTGATACCATTGCAGCCATCGTGGATAAACGCACCACAGAATCTCAGCATGCTAGGAATCGAGATCAACAGACCCCTTTACACAATGCTGTTTCTGTTGCACAAAACATGGAAACTGTGGAAAGACTGGTTGAGGCCTATCCTGAATTCGTACTTGCAGCTGATAGTAATGGAAACACACCAGTTCACATTATTTGTGAGGAATGCCCAGAGAATGGAGATCAGTACCTTGATCTCATGCATAACCCTCATGCATGGAAGGCGCGAAATGAACAGGACCTCACACCACTGCATCTTGCTGCAGGATCTCCCGGAGATGCCTCACCAGCAATTGTTGGAATGCTTTTACGACATCAAGCAGATGTTGCTGCTTGTGATAGAAATGGAAACACCCCCTTACACATGGCAAGTTTACTGAGTGGAAACCATTCTGCATTAATCATCCAGATGCTCATAGACAAGGGGGGTACATTTGGTTTGAATAAACATGGCAACAGCCCCTTACACATGGTATGTCAATCGAAAGGGGAGAGCAAAGCACAAGTAGCCTTCCTCTTGATAGATAATGGGTCAATGATTGAGACACTGAACACAGACGGAAGGACACCAATCGAGATAGCTATATCTCGAAACGAAATGGAAATGGCAGAAACTCTCATGAACCTATTGATTAGACAGGTGTGTACATCAAAGAGTTACAAGGGAGATGGCGTCATTAGAGTCTGGAAATACATGAAAAGTGTAAATCATAGCCATGCAAAGAGGCTGCTACACAGTGTTTGCGAAATCCCTGAAGTCAGTACAAGTAAACTAATACGAGGGCTTGCAGACGCTGGCTGCAGTGTCAATGCAAAAGACGATACTGGCAAATCACCATTGCATGTGGCATGTTTGCACGCAGGAAAGTATTCTGTAGATATAGTAGAGGAGCTTGTCAGTCTTGGAGCAAAGATTCACGACAAAGATGTCAATGGGAGAAATGCTCTTCATTTTGCATGTATGTCACAGAATGAAAGGGCGATTCGGACGCTTCAGTTTCTCATCGAGAAGGATGTGCAATTAAACGAACCTGACGGGGATGGCAACACGCCTCTTCACAAGGCCATTGAGACCGCAGGGAATCATTGCTACGATGCTGTGATGACGCTTATCAATGCAGGGGCATGCACAGATGTACAAAACTGGTTTCAGCAAACACCGTACGATTTGGTCCCACACTCGAATGCAAAAATATGTCAGCTTTTAGTTGGTGATAAATTGTGGCATAGATGCAACGGCGATAGGAAACTGCAGGAACAGACAGTGAGAAGTCTGATAGAGCGAGGCGCATCGGTGAATTATAGGCATAAAACAGGCAAGACTTTGCTGCACAAGCTCGCTTTGGAAGGTGGAAAACATGCTCTGGAAAACACCAAACTGCTCTTGTCTTTCGATGCTGACCCGCACGCAACATTCGAGAACCTGACACCATATGATACTGCAATTTTCAGTGAAAATTATGAACTCTTAAACGTGCTTGAAAATAAGATGAAAACTTCTAAACCACGTCCAAGCAAAACAGAAAAACCGAAAGATGACTACACGATTGAAGACGTCCTTCACCATGTGGAGGGAATTTATGAAGGGACAGCCACGGCCATGAAGAAAGCGGTAGACCACGTTGAACCTGGAAATGAAATGGTTTCTGGGGTTATGCAGGGTACTGCACAAACCCTACAAATAGGTACAAAGATGGTCAAAGGTTTGAGCAAAGGTCTGGAGTTTTTTAAAAGTCTTGGGGATGACCTGTGAAAATACTGTCAACACGTAGATATGGTCGACAGGGGTTCTAGCTGAGAATTAGGATGAGCAATACGTTGACAAAGACTAAGGATAGGTTGAGTTCAAACATCTTTTGTTGGTTCCACAAGACATGACAAACAAGTATACAAGAATGAGGAGAGCGGAGTTCCAGCTCGACCCCAGGGCGTTTCCTACGAGCGGCATTATCCTGCTCTCAGTCGTCCCTACACAGACAGTCGGAATACCGGACTCTTGACAATATCGATGTGAGCATATGTACAGTTTTTGACAACAATGGACAGGCGACGACTCAACAATGGACAATGGATAGAGAAACAGTAGAACTTCCTTGGACCAGTTGATGTGATGACAGAGAGGTACAGGGTGGCAACCTGACAAGACAATGTACACTGCGGATTAAGACTGCAGATCAGCGTCACATAAATAATTATAATTAAAGGAGCATACGAGTCAATTGCAATAATTTGATGGGTGAATTTGATAGCAAATTTGGTCAAATTGCCCCAGTGGGGTAGTCAAAATGCCCCAGTTTATTTAAAAATTTAAAATGAATAAATATAGGCCAAAAATGCATAGTTTTGTCAACTTTGATATTATGTTTTTCATATATAAGTATATACATAGTTATGAGTTTACTGATGAAACATTTATCAGAAATATAACTTCCTAATAACTTTTATATGAAGAACATAATATCATAATAAGTTGACAAAAACTATGCATTTACGGCACATATTCAATCATTATAAATAAATTTGAACAAATTAGAATGAATGACCAAATTTGCTGGGGCATTTTGTAGCTGGGGCAGTTCGACTGGTACACATGAGATATATACTATCAAAATCAGTAAGAGATTTCACATGAGCTTGAAAATGTTTCGCTATAACGTTCTTTTCGGATTGGAGCCCTAAATGATGCAGTCAACTCGAAACATTGCCGAATACAACGGCAAATCATGAAGTACTTGTTGCTTTCATTGTTTTCCATTTTGTCCAATTACGCACGTCGGCATCAGACTCGCTATTTGTCAGTAGTGTGTGCCGTGAAAGTTGTTCTGTATTCTCATTGGCGGACAGGATTGGAGTACCATAACTATTTCCATAACCAAACAATGGGGAAACATTCGTTGTCCTGACTTTTATTTTATAATTCACCAGTTTTCGGGGATTAACTTATCTGCGTCGCGAATATTATCTCTGCTCGACCAGGCTGGGATCTTGTATCGAGACTTGATACGTTATTGATGAGAACTAGGATCCTAAATTTTTTCAACAAAATAATTCCAGTGTAATTTTTGAAACAGATAATTTTTATTTTCCCTCGTCTGAAGCATAATTATTTTGTTTTTAAATCCCAGACACCCTACAGTCACCCATTTGACGCAAAATGAACTGTAATCACATTTTTTTAAATAATTCTTAGTGACTGGTCATATATTTATAGGGGTGAGTTTGCTGGCTTTAACTGTATGACATTTTGCTGACAAATAGTAATCTTGTTAAATGATATGGTTTATTTTAAAATTTATTTTGACCTCAAACTGTGCCTCCGTTTCGCTTGATTCTTCTTCTTCATCTTCACTGGAAGCTTGTCTTGCAAGATGTAAAATCGGATCGTATTGATACGGTCTAACATCCATTTCAGAAATGACATCAGGAACATCTTTTACTGCTTCAGAATCCACGGACACTGTTAAGTTGTGAGGTAAAATCAAAGAGGAAGCCATCAGCAGCAGGCACTTATGACGTCATGTCACGTGATACCCCTCTGCTCATTAACTGTCGGGTGTTTCCGTAATAGGCGGAAATACGAGTACGATTTTGTGTTTTTATTGCTATTTTATTAACGTTTTGTTCAATTTTAATCACGGAATGTGACTTTTAGAATATCCTTTACAATATATCAAAAGTTTTGTTTTCGTCCGTATTCTCCTTTAAGTCCCACGTGGCTTGGCTACATAGTTTTTGGTCTTTAGAAATATTTGGACCATGGCTGTCCTGAATTAAACGCTATGACAATATTATCAACCAACCAAATAGCAGAGAGGTTCAGAACATATCAGCCAACCCTTGTAGATTAGGTATTTGTTCACATTGTCCTTTCTAGATACAAAATTATACTTAGCTGAATTCAATTCCCATGGTTTCTTAATGTAAGCCCTTGGAACATTTGAGTTTTTCATATGTGGTGTATATTTATGTAATGTGATAGTGTACTTGTAGGTGTTAAGCATACAGTGGTTTCATGGCATAGCACTGTTATTTGTATTTGTCAATAAATGAGTAAAGATCATAGTTAGTTTACTTACTTCAATTTACATCCTTTTACTATATCATAAAGAAACATATCCCTATTTAATATTTAAGTTGATGATAGGAACATATTTCTCCAAGCACAACTTTATCATCGATGTTGAGAAATAGCGTCTGTATGTTTGTTTGTTTGTTTAAGGCCGTACAGAGCACTGTTCCTGTTGGATGACGGCGGTCAGTAAATAAGCGAGTTCGAACCAGACAAACAAGTGGTTGATGTTAAGAGTTACATCTCACGCTGTCAGGGTTGGAAACTGAACTATGTACAGTTACATTCTTCAACAAGCATTGTTTGCTTGGACCTATTGTCATCCCGAGATGCCTTTTAAAATGGTAACATTATTGTGTTAATTCAAACAAAAACAAATGATAAGAATAGGCTGGAAACATTGAACACAATGCAATGCCACCTTTTCCCAAATCGGATATGGAAATTCTTGCAAGATAAAGTCAAATTCAAACTCTTTGCTGAGGAAATGAATGAAAATATGAATTCTGAAAATCCCTACATAGAACCAGTTTTCAACCTGATCTTCGTGAATGCAGAGCTTCATAAAAGAATACCTATTATTTTTTATCCGGACAGCAGACGGACGGACAGAAAGGCAAACTGAGTACTACTGCATCTCTCTTTTAACATACCCCCGGGGTTAGAATTGGTCTTCAGTAACCCAGGCTTGTCGTAAGAGGCGACTAATGGGATTGGGTGGTCAGGCTCACTGACTTGGTTGACACGTCATTATATCCCAGTTGCGTAGATTGATGCTCATGCTGTTGATCACCGGATTGTCTGGTCCAGACTCTATTATTTACAGCTGTAATATTGCTGAGTGGGGCGTTAAATAAGAAACAAACCAACTCTTTTAACATACTGGGGACCGCACTCGTCAATAGTCCAGCTATATGGTGACAGTCTGTTGATAATGTTGACCAGACAATCGTAACCTACAATGCTACACAATGGCAATGGATGGTTTCGTACATGGCTCTATTTACAGCACCACAATCTCATTACGGATAAAGTCTCCACATACCACATACTCCACATACTAGCTAATGTACACCACAGCCATATATAAATTATATGTAATAATTAAAGAACCCCCCAACAAGGATTCGGTTACAATTCTGCTGTGATCTGCCGTTGAACAAGGTAAATTACATTGCATATATTTCCAATGTAGTAAGGGTAAAGCGTCCGCTCGTCACGTCGAAGACCCGGGTTCGATTCCCACCATGGGTACAATGTGTGAAACCCATTTCTGGTGTCCCCTGCCGTGAGATTGCTGGAATATTGCTAAAGCGGCGTAAAACCATACTCACTGACTCCAATTCGGTAAACACAGATAGGCAAAATACAGAAAGCACGCCAGCACGCCACTCATAGATGTCAACTCTTCAGTCATAAAATGATAGAATATTACCAATGGTCAACTGTCCGTGGTCTGTTTTGTCCTTGCTCGCGGGACGGCTGTCATACATCAGTTACAGCATGTAACTTACAGGTCGTCAATACGTGGCTCGGTTGAGCGCCTAGTTTCCATTAATAGTCTGATACTTTCTTTTCATGGTCATTTCCTTCAAAGTAAACCAAACCCGTCAAATTGAGCATAGCCAGTTAAAAACTATGTTCACTGTGGTTTTTGTGGACATTTTAAAAGCATAACAAAATAAAAGCAGCACTGTTATGTTTTTGACACTATCAGCATTGGTAGTCAATAGGCAGATTGTTGCATTTGGAAATGTATTCAGCATAGGAAGATAACCGCTACGTTTTCTGGGGACAAGGTGGGCGAGCTGTCTAAGGCGCCGCGCTAGTAAGCGAAAGGTGCCTGGATCGATCCCCACTTGTGACCGGGTGTAAAAACTTTGGAGCTAACTTAACTTGCAGGCTCTTTCAAATTTGTCACTTAAAAGAACCCACTCATCCGATAGTGGGTTACCAGATGGTGAACACACGAACACGCGCAGACACCTAGTCGAGGGTATAGTAAGCTGCAGTATCATTGGACAAAATACAGTGACAACGTGTCCCAGTTCACCCAGCTGCAAATGGGTACCTTGTGAGGATGAGGTTGTGTGACAACTCGCTGCGCCTAACAGGCTGCATGAGTTGAATACTCCCCAGGGACTTGAATTGGTTAACAGAATGCCAGAAAGATAGACATCCGTTGATCAATGGAACACTCAAGCGCCTTGAGCATGCACTAGTTGCGACGATATGTTATAAATATCTTATCATCCCCATCTATCATGTTCTGTCGTAGACAGCACGTAAAACAGCAAGATAAAAGCTACGTTGTTTATTGTAGACACCACATGAGCAAAGCATGACAATAGATGTTATAGATACAATCCTTTGTAAATATCATCAGGTTTCACAAGTGCCAGTCAACAGCATGAGACTGCAACGGTCCTCACATCACCACAGTTCATTACAGTTTCCACAGGGCTCATCGCGGAATCGATATAATGCTTTAAAGGGGCACAATCAGCGAAAGGTTAAAGTATAAGCCTGCAACCCTTCCAGTAACAAGATGTAACAATTTAACAGTTAAGAGTTTCATAACTGAATACACTCAGATACGATGCATACACAATGTGTATTCATTAGGGGTGACTTTTGCGATAGCGATAGTCTACTGCGACCAAGTCATTTCCCAAGTGAATGTATAGTTTATAAATAAGGACAAGCTGAAGTAGTCTCAGTCTCTGTTGATAACTGACAAGAAACTTGAAACCCAGATCAAGTTGGTTAAGAGGTAAAAGGGGCGGATAACTCTAAATCAAAGTGAACGAACCGATACTTGCTGTATTTTGCCCTGCGCATTTATCAACGGACGTCAATTACCATCGATTAATTGCTATCGAAGACTCAACAACTGCAATCGGTCGATAGTTCCATGCATCGTTACAGTCCAAGAATTCATCCAATGGCGTTGTGGTAATGTACACTGTGTCATGTCATGGTGGAACATGACGAATGATAACTCAAGGCATTTTGTTCTGTTTGTGTCGTTTCAAATACTGTAAGTCAACTCCAAGTAATCTGTGTCGGGTTCTCGCATGTCACATCAGATCAGATATGCTTTAAACTGATTCCATCCTGATATTCAAAGCCTCTAAGTGTTCTCCAATGTCGATTGTTGTGATTAAACGTCAGTAGCGATCATATTAATCCAAGAATAGCATGTGGGGCACCCCGTACAGCAACAGCGCACTTTAAACTGAAAGGACAGTTGCA